ATATATTATATATATATGTATATATATATATATATAATGACATTATCATGTATATCATATAATATTAGATACACGTTTTGCAACCATAGATAACATATTTCACACTCTGAATGTTACATTCTTAACTCTTTTTTACTCCTGTTAGCTTGTTCTACATCACATATCTGATTACTTTGTATCACATCCGTATAGGCCGTGAATTAGAAATATTACCCATAATTGGTATTAATTATATTCGTTAATTTCCCATCCCTTCCTGAAATGTCCTTATACATGTCTAAAATTAGCTTCTTGACATATTGTCCCCGTCCATATGCAAATTTCAAAGACTAGGTTCAGGTCACCCGCATACCTGCTTAGCTGATTATATGCATGACAGCCCTAATACGCTTGTATCGTTCTACGCCACCTGCCTCCACTACCTTCTCTATAGACGGGCTCAATATGTCATTATTACAATCGACTTTGTAAACACCAGCCACAAGAAATTTTGGAGACAGTCTATCTTTTTCCGGCGACCCGCATTGAGCATTCGTGTATACACATAGGTTTGAAATATTCGGGGGACGTGCAATATATCTTCAACAACTAATAATATAATAACAAAACTAATAGCTGTACAGCTTATAATCGTTTGAAACAATATATATATATATATATTACCATGTACAAACGTTAGCTCATTTATATATAGCGTACGCATATACATCTCGCGCGCGCACGCGTGTTTCGCGCGTGTGTGCGCATGCATCACGTGTACGTGCTTGAGTTCTTTTGGTCGTTAATTTACGAAATTATTGACTGAAGACCTAATCCAACTGAATTTCAAGTATTTACGCTGCAATCAGTAGCTAAATCACCAAGACACTCAATCCTGGTATAATGTGTGCCCTTTCCATGCGCAACCCCACCTCGCGCTTTCACCCCTATTTCAAATGCAGGTAAAGTCGGCTTAGTTAGTCTGCCGACTCGGGGTGGAGCTACTCCGCGGGTGCAAGGTGCGCAGGTGCTACGCGGTATGTAAGCCCAGCCCAGCCAGACCGGCATACCAACCATACGTGCCTCCGGATTTGCAGATAGTAACGTGGATCAGCTAGGTGAACTTACAATAACTTATAAGGCGCGTAGCTTTCATCAGAAATCATGCCGAAGTGTCCAAAGTGTAACAAAGAGGTTTATTTTGGTGAGTTGTTATGTGTATTTGTTGTCTGCTGGGTATGCATGTGGGGCCTCGATAAGTTACTTTGATAAACGTACGTCAGATCACAGAAATTGTCCATATTCGGTACCGGGTACTATTTGCTCCTGATTATATGGATATATATATGTGTGTGTGTGTGTGTGTGTGTGTGCGTGCGTGCGTGCGTGCGTGTGTGTGTGTGTGTGCAGTAAATTGTAATGTAAACATTACAGTCCGGCGTTAGAATACATTTTAGTTTTTAGTTTTTGTTATAGTTTTATTATCATATATATATATATATATATATATATGCCTATGGCAACAACGGCTATACTATTACTAGTACAGAATATGCACAGTAATAAGTTGCTATATGCAAGTTACGTAACCGTTGCTATTCATTTCTATGTATCGATCTTATCAATTATAGCTATCTACTTGTAGTAAAAATATGTACAGTGTCGTCCAGTATATGCTGCGTAAATATATGTGCTAAAGAGAGATCACGTATACTATTATAACGCCGTGCAAAGGGAGGTCTCCTTTATGTACATAGTTGGGAGTGCCAGCGTATTCATGGCTCAGCAAAAAGCGATTATAGTGATGGCGAATGCTTTTTCCCTTCCAACGCGGTTGGTAAACCGTAACGGGGCAAAAGCAAGGTCGAGTGAGTTTCAATGACTGACGAATGGCATAAACAAAATTGTTTTGCGATTGATACCGTTGATACCGTTGATATCGTACTATATCGCAATATCACGATTTTCTGGTGTAATAATTATTATGCTGCTTGCGCTGATGATTGCTCGTACACAGTCAGTATAAGTATACAATGTCGCACACACGGGCGGCGGTGTCCCCTTTCTCATGAAGGGATGGTACACCATGGTCGATCAATCTAATCCCTTTATCTAATCGCACTACTGTTTAGTATAGTGTTAAAACTGTGTTTATGGTTTGATGACAAGACTGATGATAAATTGGTGAGTGGCGCAGGCGTGGTACATGCGGATATTTCACTTATCTACAAACGATATATAAACCTACCCAGCTATATATGCGCGTGTCCGCGTGCGTGCGTGTGTGTGCGCGCGTGTTGTATGTGTGTGCGCGCGTGTTGTATGTGTGTGCGTGTGTGTATGACAATGTATGTACGTGTGTGTATGTATGTACGTACGTGCATGTGAGCGTGCGTGTGCGTGCGTGTGCGTGTGTGTGCGTGCGTGCATGTGGGCGTGCGCGTGCATGTGGGTGCATGTGCAGGGAATGTAAAGGCTAGACTGGACGACGCACGCTTTCATTCATGCGTAACACAATGACGCGCCCATGTAGTTGCTGAGCCGCAATAAACCAGTTTCTGTGCAATTATACGATGCTGAAAATAGGTTATGACGCTGTAACTGTGTATTTCTCGCCGTAAATGTGCAACGATGATTAAATTTAAGACGATAATAGTAAGGGTTAATATACGATAAACATGCGGTCCGGTTGGATGTAATTAATTGCCTGGCTGAGATATATATACTTGTCACTGCATGAACTATCCGTTGGTTACCATCACGGCTCGACTTGCTACAACAAACATTATATTATATTCGCCTCATGGTTTCTAGTAGATGCTGGATATCAGTTAGTAAATATAGAGTTTGATTACGCATCGACGTGAAATGTCAATTTCAATGACGGCGTATATAAGATATGATTGTATAAAGCGATTACGCGAAGAGTGGCATTTAGGGCTCATTCTACATACACATAGGCGCAATCCCTTCTTTCGTTCTTTTCTCGTAAATTATTTCCCTTTCTGAGTTTCACTTCCTTAATTCTTGCCTTTCGATTGGGAATATGCCTTACTGATTTAGTAAGACTTTGCGATTGCCGGATACATATGAAGTACCCCTCAAAACATTAACCACGCCTAATATAGTAAAAAAAGTAAACAATATGTGATAACTAGAGCACTCGGAGAGCACAGACCTCCGCCAAGGCAGCTCAATTCTGTGACTGTGGGAAATTTTATTAATTAATTCATTCATTAAATAATTAATTGGATCCGGATCACCACCGAAATGTAATCAATTCTAAGTTACCCCATTTCTGACCTATCCTGAAAATTTTATTAATTAATTGGATCCGGATCACCACCGAAATGTAATCAATTCTAAGTTACCCCATTTCTGACCTATCCTGAAAATTTTATGAATTAATTAATTGGATCCGGATCACCACCAAAATCTCATCAATTCTAGGTTAGCCCATTTCTGACGTATCCTGAAAATTTTACGACAATCCGTCCATAACTTTTTCAGTTAGGCTGTACACAAACAAACCCACAAACCAACAAACCAACAAACACACGCCGGTGAAAACATAACCTCGTGCCAACCCCTTGGCGGAGGTAATAATAAAGGATAACATTCCCCAATTATTTACTCCCGGTAATGTCCTTGACGTTATGACAAGACTATGGGCGTAACCATATGGCAATCACGGGACAATGAGGCTTATAAAATGCATGGCCAGTAAGTATATGAAACACGAGAATGAAATACGTCTCCTCAGATTGCTAAGAGCTATAGGTGAACGTGTATTTTACGTAGGCGTATCCAACCGTATGCCTGGGAACTGCTTATACGAGATGGGGCGATGGCAGTGCCTGCCGTGTAAACACTGTGTTTGCACGAGGTCAAATATTACTACTCACCAACAGAACACCGCGCAGGAACCGAAAACGATAAATAAGTGTGTAGTATCAAGAGTACATGAATTAGAGACTCTATCTATATATCTAATTCATGAACTCCTGGTTGCATATAATCATGTATATACGCGCTGCGTACACTAGCATATATACATCTACATAGGTAATATAATAGCTGGATGCAGATCCTAATTATGCGGGCGTGTGTGTGTGCGCTACCGATTATCGCATAGCACTGGTTTATAAGTGTGGATTTTTAATAACCAATTAAGTAAATGCCGAATCGATCGACGAACAAAATCTGTGCCGGTCAGAAAATATTCACAGGGTACGAGTAAAACTTATGACATATTACACTAATGTACGGCGCAGAGAGCAATCACGAGATTAGCTTCATGAATAATTGAATAAAATACGTCAATAATTAATAGTATTGTAATAATTAATGAGTTGCAATGCAGCAAGACTGGATGAATAACATCACATAAAGTGTGTCCGTTGATTAAGCCGTAACACGGCCTTTGGGTGTGGGAGCCTATTACTGATACATTTTCTATTTGTCTGTTACAGCTGAGAAGAAGACTTCACTTGGCAAGGACTGGCACAATTTCTGCCTAAAATGTGAGAAATGTAACAAGACTTTGACACCAGGATCTCATGCCGAGGTTGGTCTCACTCTGCTTGATGTACCTCTATCTGTGGACATACGAGCTGTTACCTGGCATGCGGTTACAGCTGCCGTACAGCATATGAATGTTAACCAGAATTAATACAATTATTCACCCAGACAGCGCCATTACAACTGCTATGTTAATTTTGTACTGACTGTCAGCAAGTTTAGAATGTACTTGATATTCTATATATACTAGCTAATTTAAACATCGTCTAATAAGTATAGTGACGTTTCTCTTACAATTTCTCATTCTATTCCAGCATGAAGGAAAGCCATACTGTAACCAACCATGCTATTCAGCCTTATTTGGACCGGGAGGTGAGATTACAGTGATAAGTAAACGTTTCCATGCTATACAAACGCGGTCATTTTTTAAACAATATTAATTACTGATAGTTTAATTGTTATAATGAGTATAGAGAAGTTCCGATATTGATTACAGTTTATGAAGCTACGTTGCACAATGCACTGACTACATAGTGTAAATAGATGTTTTAAATAGATATAGAAGAGATCGGTTGGTAACAATGATACTTCTTTCAGGTTATGGACGCGGAGGAGGAGAAAGTCACAAATTTGACTAGGTCAACATGAGCATTACAGGGAATGCAAGCGCCAACATAATATTGACATTCTCTAGAGCTATTCTTCACAACATACAATACAAATTGAATACTCTCTAAATTTTCGTATATTTTCGTTTATCTCTTGTGATCCATGACATATGGCCAAAAAATATTGTTTATAGAAAATATAGATTGCATTTAATAACCACATAATGTTCACCGAATGTATGTGTAACTATATCACTATATAGTTATGTAGTAAAACTTTTAAACACCCATTTAAAGTAATCTTTTAAGTCAAGGAATGATAATGGGGAAATAGTGAATTATATTAAAAGCATTTAGATTATATTAGAACAAACGCAGTGATCATTATAGGGGCATTGTCATGTGCATCATTGTCATTATTTGGTGTAATCAAGTTTCGTTTTTTATTTTAAGAAAATTCCCAACATTTCTTGGTTCTCAATGTTAAGTAAATGAGCAAGACTCTGTTCAAATGTCAAACGTAAGTGGCTGAATAATAATTTCACTTATTTGCAAGTTACTTGTTTTTAGTTACCCTTTTAGTGGTTGGAATGTAGTTGTTATTGTTATTTAAAGAACAGTGATCAGGGCTCATAGGGTCTATGTCCCCCAGGGTACTGCCGGAACGTACCCTGGTAACTATATGTAACTATATGATAGGGTAAGGGTTAGGGAGTAGGCGTAGGCGACTCCATAGACTCGTTAGTGGAGTAGGCGATGTACGGTCCGGCATATTAGATAGTACCAGGGTACGTTCCGGCAGTACCCTGGGGGACATAGACCCTCTCAGCATCACTACATCATCCCTTTACAACAGTTATATTTCACCCTTGAATGTTCCTAGCCACCACATTATCAAGAAGAGTACATAGAGAATCTCTAGCCATGTACTACCAGCATTATCATAAAGGGAAACATGGGCAATCACTGCAGTATCAACGATATGGCGTTTGAACATGGAATGATGTCAATTTCTTTCACTTTACTTCATCATTATGGAGAGAATCAGGAGGGAAAGAAAACATTGATTTTATCCACTCTCGATGGAATGGATACCATCAAGAGCCCATTAACCCCTTAATGGGTTCTGATAATGGGCTAGGTTAATGGCTGGGTAATAATGGTAATAATGGTAAATGTAATAATGGTAATAATGGGTAATAATGGGTAATAATGGGTAATAATGGCTGGGTTAATGGGCTCTTGATACCATCCTATAGTCAAATGGATACTATCAACTAATAAGGCACCGTAGGGATAAATGTCAGGGATATATCTAAGCAACAAATACATTACAGACAAGGTTTATTAAAATAAAAATAGGTAATCGAAACGAGTTCGGGATGTCGAAGCTGGGGTCAAGGTCAAGAGGTAAAAGAAGGGGAACAGTTCCTCCTTAACTAAGGTATAGGGAGGAAATGCAGAATTGCAGCACAAATCTCAACGGCTCGACATAGGCCTCGTGATAGTCCGGTGTAATCATCATGGTAGGAAAGAGCCATCACTGTGCCGAAATTGAGGTCACAGGTCAAGAGGTCAAATCGTGGCGCAGCACGGGCAGATTCTGACGAGCATTTCTTCTGAGGACATGGCTCGTGACGGAGCGATGAAAACTTAAATACAGGCGTGATCCTAGCATTTTTATGGCTTTATTGAAAGGACTATGAAATGTGCTTACCGCTGACGTGCGAAGAGTAAGTGTCGGATAACCTTTTGACCCTCAAGGGGATGGTTAAACATGGATTTGTTTACTGTTAGAAAGAATTTGACTGCCGGGTTTGCTAGTAGAATCTATACATGCCTGGACGTATAAGGCTACAATGTCACAGTGAAATTTCAAAAGCTAAATTTGGTTGAAGAAGGTTTATGCTCCTTAAATCGTATAATTTCGATGGCATTCTGTACTGTCAGTGTCAGTGTGTTACATGTAACATATGCCACTGCCAGTGGCCACTGCCAGTGCATATGGCGGTGATAGTACTGTGTAGTTTTTGCCTCCGTTAATTAGTTACAGGTGGCAGCTCTCTATTTCAACCTGTAGGCTTGCATAGGTAAATGGATGAGTGCTTACCTATTCTGTCTTGCAAATAGTTGTTGCTACTATGTACGATGGGAGTTTCCATCTTCAATCTTAAGACACTCAAACGTACGCGCCATCTCATGGCAACGTTCATAACAATCCCAACAAACATTCCTTCGAGAAGGTTCCTGATACCATCCCAGTGTTTGAAATAAGGGCTATCCGTTTGTCCGTACTTGTCCATTTCCACGGATGACAAGTAGATCTGTCCGGTAGCTTTTTAGAGCAATTTTTCATAATTTTCTACCATCGCTGGCCGCTGCTGGGAAACCCGAGTTAACATAGTATAAACATGGGCTGCCGGAGTGCCACCCGAATTAACATATAGTATAAGTATACCGCCTTGCTAGCTCAACGAAACGGTCTTGCTAGGGTTAGAAGACCATCAGACAATCAGTCTGATAGACAATCAGACATCTGTATAGACAATCAGTCGCACAGCCTCGTCCGGCAGCGCTACAGCCTCGAGAAAGAGAGAAATCTACATGCAGTGTACGCATCTGCATATCTGCATATCTGCGCCTAACAAATGTGTCATTACGCACAACTGAAATTTTACGTTTATAACCGTAGCAACAGACCCCAGATGAGCCCAGACGCTCTGCGGCTCTTGTTCTATACTCTTATTAGACTTGATCAATGAGACGAATAATTTCATTACAGCAAAGCATTAGCTTTTGGTCATGATCCAATTAGAAAATCTTTTCTAATATATTTACACATCAATACTTCCAATCTTTAGACAAAACTTCCACCACACAAGCACCTGATATGCAGTAGTAACAAACCTCCATGACTGATGACTGCATGACTGATGAACAAATTAATAATAAAACTTTTAATCAAATACCTTTCATAATTGCCCAAGCACTGTATTAACATGCTTTTGTTAATAACACGCACATTCATTTAACATGAAATATATTCTATTATTGGAACATCTCACGATTGTCTTTACCATATGGCTTCATACAATGCATGACATTTAAGGCAAGTTATTCTTAATAAGCAGTAAAATTAACAGCACATATTACACATACTTTTACACATTACCTTCATTAAAAAAATATACAAATGAAAAACCGTAATGCACAATACCTTATTGAATTCGATACAGGCCGTTGAAATCATCACATTCTTTATCACCTTACTTCTTTATCAGTGCATTTCTGATTGCAGCGAGTCCGAAGATATTCCAGCGACTTAGCTACGAACAGTTGAAATCGTCATATTTTCTAATACCTTACTTGGTTATAAACATGTCTTTGATTGCAGGCAGAGTCAAGTGTGTATGATTGGGATCATAATCAGGCCAGACACTAGGGCATATCTTTGCAGCATTGGTTCCATAAATATCCAACACTAGGCGGTTCATTTCCGCAAACCTATGAGTAAACCAAAAAAAATCATGATAAGCAGCACAATCAGATGCATGAGCATATACACACATGAACGCATGCACACACACAGGCACGTGCACGCACGCACGCACGCACACACATAATCAGAAGTATATAATTAAAAGTATAACAAAATTTGAATAAGGCCGGCTAGTTTCTATGATAATATGTGACCCACTCCAGCATAATACGGACTAAGTCGCAAGTCATTGTTTTGAGTAATGAGCACGCACACATGTCAATGCTGAAAATGGCCTACCTGGACAAAAATGGTTTTTACAAAAATAGGTTTCTTAGTGCATATTTAATCCGGATATATAGGTTCAGATATCTCTAGATTATTATGGTCATTTTTATATTTAACAACCAAACAAAAAATAAAAAATGTTTTTTGAGGTTCCCCTGACGCTCATCCCGACTGGGGCTACTTACCGGAACCTTTATCTCCAAAGCTGCATTTCGGAAATAAGTCGTTCCGATCTTCAAATGGCTGTAGATTGGTCATTCTTTAGAGTATAGCAATATTATATATCATTTTTAAAGTATTAATGATCTATTCAGATATGCACATCTCAATGTTATTTCCTACTTAATCCTGGTTTGCTGGAGCGGGTCACATATATACTTCTCCTATTTTCAATTAGAAAACTAGTAGTTAGATAAACAGTTTATGATAAACATGATGACGGGGTTTATAATTTCTGCATAGCACGTACTCCTGACAATAAGTCTTTTTGTACCACTTTCCTACAAGTGAGAATTAGTACTCTTATCTGTGGTGGTGTTGTTGCGTTGGTTTTACCTTTGATTTGTGAGCTTCTTCAGAAAATCCCAGTAGGCTGGTCTCATCAAATGTGGACTAAATACTGCCTGCATTACAATACAGATAAGTCAAACCTTTAACCACGTTTCACCATTTCCATACCTAGCTACAATTTACACTCACATAGATGATGTTTAGAAGCTAGTACAATTCTTGACTGCTATTCGGACAATCTTGCAAATACATTGATAAATCTGTCATGAATTCAAGTGCATTGAATATATACATAATTCAAATAAAACTAACCACTTACCGCATGAAAGTTAATTGCTGTAGAGAACGCGTACAACATAACGTCAAAATGCCTAAAGCTTGGAAGATGGCCTGCTTCTATTCCCTTGTAATACAGTGTCTGCAAAATAATTGCAATTTATAGATTAGATTTTCATCACTTGGATATATATAGACTCTTTTATTATACCACATGACTTCATACTGTTCCTGTACATCATAAGACTGTAACATTTATCAGTGGTTAATATACACGCAGTACTGATCACACAATGGTATGGTATGTGGGCGAATGCCTGGCATCAGTCGCACTTTTCCTGCATGCAAGGGTCACATACCACTAATCAAAACTACTAATAGATCCAAGAAATATAGCAGAAACGTAAAAGTGACTTATAATAAAGAATGCAATATACGTAACAATTCTATTTACCAGGACAACAGTCATATTATCAAAAAAAATCTTCTACTTAGCCATTTTACTATCATCTAAAGATTGCTCATTATAAACTTTGCAATACTGAAGCAAATTACCTCCAACAACTTCCAAAACAGATACAGTGAAATTGGCACACTGCGGTAGAAGCCCATGGAACTACCAGCTAGAAACCCTGCTACTGCGGCATGTTGTCTCTTGTGTTCAGCTGTGAGCCACCTCAGAAGGCAGCACACTCCCTATGACATAAAGTTCAATTACCTCAATGTAAACTGAGGAGCAGAACAGCAAGTAAAGCATGAATTAAAATTAAGAAATAAAAAAAAAACTGTAATCATTACACCAAAATATTTAACCTTCCTCCATGTAAATCAAGAATTATCAGATTGACTAAAGCTGATTGCCTTTCGTTAATGTATCTTTGGAAGAATGTGCTTCATTAGGCTTGCCACTAATGTATTTTCCATTGCTTTAAGCTACGTACAGCTTCGCAAAGCGTATTTTCTGTTATTACTGTTTCAGATTTTGCTTGTTAAAGCGATGTATAAATAGTTAGTCCCACGGCCTTATCAGACTAGCACTGTATCCAATGTCAGAAGTGGTTCTGTTGCATAAAATTTGGACAAAGATAACAAAACGTAGGCTCTATTTGAGGGTAAATATGGCTGTGTAGGAAACTATGTGCTTTTAATTACATATTACATTCTTGTGTTTATATTTATTTATGATGTATGTTCATATAATTAGTTCTATACAGCTAGCTGGGTAGCCGGGTTACCTTGCATGTAATGCACATGCTTGTGAACTGTTAATGCAGATAAAGAAGTTTCTTAACACTTACCCTAAAAATACCACAAAATCCAGCCAAGAAGCACCCTAATCGCACATTGTGTCCATGTGTGAGAGAAGTGAGTAGTAAATGCGGCTGCTTTAGCAATTTTGGCACACTCCCCACGAGTTTCATGCATCCCTGTATTCCATATCCTATCATGAAGTTCCGAAGTGTGCCCTAGAACACAGGATTGATACAAAATGTAATCATTTAACAGCAGAGAATAGTAAGAAACAAGTTAGTTGTGAAGTACTGTGCAACAATTATTACCTGGATCACGTAGGAGAGGCAACTATGAGAATGTCTGCACAGGTGGTGTTTCCTCCAACTTTTGACAACATTGTTAAGCACATTAATGTACTTAGTAAGACCTAGAAATATAGATCTATATTAGTCACAAACAAAAACAGGCATAAAATTCAAATGTGCAATGAAAAGCTAGGAATATTTACATAATACGAGAAGGAAACATCTGCCAATTTAACTAAAAACATAAATAACACATTTCAGGGTCATTTGGACTTTGGAATCACAACAACAGTCGAGGTGAAAGACAGTATAAAGTATTAGGCAGTAGTATAACTACTGGCTTAACACAAGATGCTCATGTAACTGAGGAAAAACTCTGAGGAACCGTTAGCTGTCAGCACCACCACGTTTAGTACACTACCTGAGAGATGCAACTGCAAAATACAGAATACTTAGTAGATTCTTTTAATCTGATAGAGTGCACACTGCTGATGTTCCAGTGAACGTTGCTCAACCCAAATGGCTCGAAAATTATATATAAGCAAACATTAACAGGGGCATAACTCAAACCTAAGGCATTAACCATACAAAGAATATCCCTTGACCAACAACCATAGGGTCTATGTCCCCCAGGGTACTGCCGGAACGTACCCTGGTCACTATTTGATATGGTTAGGGTTAGGATTAGGGTTAGGGTTAGGGTTAGGGTTAGGGTTAGGGTTAGGGTTAGGGTTAGGGAGTAGGCGTAGGCAACTCCCTAGACTCGTTAGTGGAGTAGGCGAGGTACGGTCCGGCATATTAGATAGTACCAGGGTACGTTCCGGTATACCGGACTGTACCCAGGGTACGTTCCTGCAGTACCCTGGGGGACATAGACCCTCTCATCTTCACTAAACAGGAGGCATATATAATTATAAGCCACCAGATACGCAAGACTACAGGATCAGCAAAGTTGAAACCAATAAAAATAATTGTATATTTGTACCTAATAAATATTTTGCACCAAGTAAAACTTGTTTCTTTCGGGTTTCAGTTTTTGCCTGCCACTCGTCACCTCCATTGACTTGCTCTAAGTCTCCCACAATAAACCTGGGCATAAAAAATTCTCTCAGATCTTACTGCAATGCTTGCAGTAAACAGCCATGGAGCAACGAAAAGCTAAAGACTATATCCAACAACATTGATGTTGAATTTAGAGATAGCTGAAAATTAATCAGGATTAATTGCAGACATAGTAGAATAAGACAGTAGAATAGGTCTAAACTGTTAAGGTAGCATGCTATACTATTAGCAATACCAATTGGATATCCAGGTGATAAACGCTTCCCAGTTTTCCAGGCTGCAAATTTGACAATGTGGTGGCAAAATAAATCAGTAAATTGCATTTTAAACTAGCCGAACACTATGGCTAGTGATGTAGTCTCAACATTTGGCCAAGGCAGAAATCATAAGGACAAATAAAATGGTATGCGTTTTTTGTCTTTCAAGCGAGTTCAACTACTTTATTTTATTTTTAAGTGTTGCCACGAAGTTTTAATTAACAGGAGCAGCAGAGCAGTGCTCAAATGAATTTTCACCTGTATTCGCCCGTTTCACCTGAATGGATCGAGCATCACTTTCCTGTTAACTAATACCGGGAGTGAATAAATACAAACACTTTGTTTTTATTTATTCTTGCTAATATACTAGGCTAAAAAGTTTGCTTTACTTAGACATGATCACTTCTTTAAAAACATGTCATGGTAGGATAGATAAAACACACACTCACACACTCGCACCTACCCACAGACACACACGTACATATCTAGAAGTTGCTCGGATGCAAACCAGAAAGTTAAATTAGCCGGAAGGCCGCTGGCTGCCAAATAGCATAAAACGATTGTTACATTGATACAATTATGATAGATTCACGCTTTTTGTGAATGCTATAGCTGGTTGTTGAAATGAGTGATTGCAGAGTACGGCGTGAGGACGTATTGGATGCTGAACTCGACAGACTGAAAGTACTCACTTTATGCCTTTTTGTTCGGCTCCAGCAAGACCATCATGTGAGCAGAAGAGGAACATGTACACAGCAGCCGTAATCATGAACATGAAGAGACGATGATGAGGACGTAGATGGTAATAAAATTGTTTAAATCATTACCAATGTAACCCTACAATTACCTTAACAGCAAATGCTTGGATAAATTCAATATTATTTCTCTTCTGTCAGAAATCGTAAAAAGTTCACCTGCCTCCAAGTCTATTAACACTAGCGATGGATAAAAGCTAAAGCTATAGTAGTAAGGGTGACTTTCTGGGGGGGGGGGTGTATTTATCCTAGAATCATATATGTCACTGCTGTCCTTAGTTTCAAAATAAAACATACCTCTCCAAATTTAATCGGCTTGATATATCCATGAGCAACAAGTGATTTGAAGAGGTACTCACTTGCCTGAAGTAACAAAACAATGGTCAAAATAAAGCTTACTTGTGGAAAAATGTCTGCTTGTGGCAAACTACACACAAAATCTTCCACAGTCAGTTGCCAGGTGCAGGGAATCTTTATTGGTAGCCCAGAATATAATTATTGGGCTAATACATATTTTTCTTTAAATGATAGACACTGAAATATAAATGTAGTATATAGAACCTGTGTAAAATAATAATTAAGAAGATTTGATTTTGATGACACTTTTTGATTTCCAGTATTTTTTTTACAATGTAATTCCATGGCGTGCATTGCAAAGACGCATTTCATTCATTCATTGCTGCTAGCTCAGATGAATCAATAATTGTGTTATACAATGCGCACACGTCTATCAATGACAGTTGACTGGGAAGTTAATAAAATAAGCATAACATATAGCGATCCTATATAGCACTGAAGGTATAAAGATGTAAATGGTGACTGAATTTAGATGTGTGCTGTGCAAACTTGTACTGCAGTGCCTATTTTATTCACCAACCCAGAATATTCCCCCCACTGGTGTAAAAAAACTGTTACCGTGGTTATTACTGTAAAGATATGAAGCTGTGGGAGATATGAGTATGATGGGCCTGGCGGGTTACATTCCCCCTTCAATACATACCAATGTACAAAAACGTAAAAGTAATTACCAAATTTGTTAGGTACACAGCTAGCATTCCTCTTCTGAAAAAGTAAACAGATGTTTGACTTGGCACTACTACAAACATTATAATGTTTAAATTGTTTAATTTCTATTTAATTTACTCTTAATAATGAACTCTATTGAAATGCTCTAAAAAAACGTTACTCATCAATCATGCATATAACCATGATATAACATACCCCTATTCATTCTAAAGAAATGGTATTTCGTTAGGTAGCTTTAATCAGACCGCAAATAAAATATCTCACTTGGCACAAAATTACACGTAAGAAATAATTCACACGTTAGTTTTTTAATCAGATTTTACCTACATATTTCATCATTTCATTCTTACCTGCTTTTTCTTTCAATCAGCACAGATAGAAACGAAGCGATGAACGCTGGCACAAAGCCAGCTGTAATGAGGCCATATTTACCAAGCACCTTACTGAAAACCATGACCATTAATTTATACGATCAGTTCACCTTCACTAAAAAACAATATCGGATTAATTTATTAAATTACATACTCATTCATACCTTACTTAGATTTTGACTTGCATGAAACATTACAAATTTTAGGCCTCTTTACAGTAGGCCTCTTTACAGTCCGACTATAGAAAGTTTAATCAGACTTTTGCATTTTTTAATAGATCTTTAGAACTGTTCAACTCAGGTATATCTATATAGCTATTTACTAATTTATTTTAAACAGTTATATAATACAATTTATGATTATAAATTTTATTAATTTGTGTAATACAGTTTGTGCATTTCATACCCTATCATACAAAATGCTCCAATGAAGAGACATGCGTTAGCTGTCAGAAAAACAGTTGACCTCAGCATATCTGGCAGAAACTTTGTCAGGTAGTACTCCTTATTCTTATTCTTTAATGCTGCTGTTAGCTGAAAGACAGAAATGAGTTCGTGGTGGAATAATTTTGCAATACAGCCCATATATGATATTATAAGATAATAAATAATTAAAGTTGATGACATTTATATTCAGTTTTATAATACACTACATTGACCCAACACCCCTTCCATTGGATGTGTAGTTTGCTAGTATACTTACAACTTCAGAGTGAATAAGAAGAGCAATGCAGGGCTTGAAACTAACCCTAGCCCCTCAGCCGTGCATGGCTAGTAGAAATCCCAACAGCTAGCAGTATGTCTTGGCTGACTAGCCCTGCTAGCGAGTGCCAGTAATACTCAAATCCGTATTTACTTTGTGTCCAACTCATCCCATCTGATTTCAATATAAATTTTCTGTGTGCAAATGTCACATATTGTAGTTTATAGCAAACCTTTTTGTACAGCACCCTGTAGCAGCATATATGGTAAGCAACCTAGCTAGCTGCTTTTGAAATAAGGAACACATGCTTGAAGTATATTGGACGCACGGGGAATGATTACAGGAACATAAGGATTACAGTAATAAGGATTACAGGAAGCCGGGCACGGTCTTCGATTTCCTAAATGCCCGGCAGTTCCTAACCCTAACCCTAACTCTTGTTTACTTGAGGTAATGCTGAAAATTAAAAACTGCCCGGCATTTCGGAAATCGAAGACCGTGCCCGGCAGCCGTCAGATATATGCCGGCTGCCGGGCATATAGCCACTCTGTATTTAAAATTATCAGCATACCTTATTTTTTTATTTTGCTCTAAAATCTAGGGGGGCAGCTGCCCTTGCCCCCTCCCCAGAGGCTACTGCACTGAGTATGTTACACATGTCAAAAATGACCAACCCAACATGTTGGCAGATAGCTGGCTATTTATTATTACATTAATTTCATATACATTAATTTGGCAACAAGTAACGTTTCAAGTAAAAAACCCACTCACTCTTTAGAAGAATGATGTAAAGAGGGAACTTTCGTTTTGTGTCTCAATTTAAGTGGTCATTGTTGTGTCCAGGATACCAGCTCAACACGGATTACCCCTTCATTTACCAGACAAAACTATATATATCTTCTATCTACAGAAGTCTTATATATAGCTATATAAGACTTTAAAGGAATAATAAGTTCATTGATTATTAACAGCTCCTTGCTAAACAGTGCCAGAGGCAGTGGCAGTGATGCGGCTAGACCGAATAATTCTGTCCCATATAACCTTTTTTATATTTTGGTGTTGGTTATTTGGACAGAACGGGGTTCATTGAAATTTCGTCAGATCGCATGCAAAATGCATGCGCTGCGAATGCAGCCCGTACGCCGCTATTGGCGCAAAAAAAACCTACCGTTCCCTTCTACATGGCTTTACCTTGCTACTGATATGTGTATACATTCACTTCAATCGTTATTCACTTCTTAAAAGATTGTTTTTCAGAAAACCCGCTTCATTTAACTTTAGTAAATTACGTTCGCCATTTACAAACGATCAGACCAATCAGAGTGAGTCTATCAGCCCTCCTGCAGCGCCACAGATACAAGCGAGAACCAGGGGCTATTGTAAGACTCGCTCTGATTGGTCTGATTGTTTGTAAATGGCGAACGTAATTTACTAAGGTTAAATGAAGCGGGTTTTCTGAAAAACAATCTTTTAAGAAGTGAATAACGATTGAAGTGAATGTATACACATATCAGTAGCAAGGTAAAGCCATGTAGAAGGGAACGGTAGGTTTTTTTTCGCGCCAATAGCGGTGTACGGGCCGCATTCGCAGCGCATGCAATTTGCATGCGATCTCACGAAATTTCAATGAACCCCGTTCTGTCCCAATAATCAACACCAAAATATAAAAAAGGTTATATGGGACAGAATTATTCGGTCTATGATGCGGCTAGAATTCAATTCAATTCAAAAATGTTTATTCACGTAGTACAAGATACATATACATAATATAGCTGTTTATACTAGTTTAGAATTGCGTAGGAGAGCGAGTTGACTGTGTCAGAATCTTACTAACCCGACCAGGCTGTGTGACTGACGCCCCTAACCCGGCGTTACCCTAACCCTATTAGTATTAAAGGCTCAAAATGCGCATCCAAATGCTAATTTCTCCAGTACTAGACTAGCAAATACTTCGTGGCATGCATAATCACACTACCTTATGACAAAATAAACTCTGCTACCTCCCATTTGACTGCGCCTCGTCAGCGAGAGAGATGATTGAAATTGGTTAATCTCGGTTAACGGTCTAGTTGGTGCA